CCAAGTCCACAGTGCTACATGCTAGTATGTACACGGTCAGAGCCCCAAGATTCAACAGGTGACAGTTACTATTAACGAAGACTGTCAACTTCTCAGACCAAAACACTCATTGCTTTTCTCCATTCTACTTTCTCTAAGCAGCCAATTCCAGACTTTAGTCTCTATTACTTGCAACCCCCCACTTTCTGTTAGCTATCTCTATGTCTTTATTTTTTTAATGTTTTATTTTTATTTTTATTTTTTTGAGAAAGAGACAGAGTGTGAATAGGGGAGTGGCAGAGAGAGAGGGAGATACAGAATCTAAGCAGGCCATAGACTCTGAGCTGTCAGTGCCGATCCTGACGCGGGGCTTGAACTCATGAACCATGAGATTGTGACCTAAGCCGAAGCCTGACGCTTACCAGACGGAGCCACCCAGGTGCCCCAATTAGGATTCTTTATTTTGTAAAAGAAAACTCAACCTGAAACACTTTAAACAAGAAGTAAATGTTTCTGGTTCACATAACTGAGGAGCCAGGGGTAGTATAAGTTCAGGCGCAGCCCACGCCAGGGCTCAAATGATGTTAACAGGAAGAGGTTTCCCTGTCTCTCAGTTCTGCTTCCATGTGTTGGCTGAGCAGTTCTTAGGGCCACATCCTTCCTCGTTCTGATCCAGCAGGAAGGAGGGTGTTTTTCCCCCATGTAAGTCACTCTCAAAGAATAAAGGAGTTATGACATGGTTTGCAAATAGTAAAATTGCGGGAGGTTTTCTCTTCTCCCTGCCTGAAAATTCTAAGAGAATGGAGAAACGGAATGATGTTCCCATACAGTTACACTCTTTCACTCCTATGTGGAAGACTTTCTGAATCGCTGCTGAGTCTTCAACAGGAAGTGGCTTCAAAATAAATATATGTGACTTCAAAAGTCATTGGATGGGTAGGTCAGGAAATCCTACTGATAAAGAAGGTTGCCATCTCATGAAAGCCTGGCCAGTCAGCAAACATAAAGAAGGAATGAATTGCTGAGACTTGCCTAGTCTTTGATTTCATGAATTACTCTCAATTTTTCAACAAAGCCCCATCATGCCTAGAAAGATCAGTCTCATAGATACTCCTTATAACATGCGTGAAGGGTTCCTTCGGATGCTCATCCAGATCTTCCTCCTGTGCTCAGAAACAGACGACTACATCATCAAAGGACCCTGTCGCCTGGCCCCACAAACACACTTGCCTTTGTCGCACGATGGCTCCACACCTGTCCTCATCAGAAATATTTAGACACCTTCTACATTTGTTCGTCTCAGATAAGGAGTTCGTGGATCTTGAGAAGCCACACTTTTTTTTTTTTCAACATTTATTTATTTTTGGGACAGAGAGAAACAGAGCATGAATGGGGGAGGGGCAGAGAGAGAGGGAGACACAGAATCGGAAACAGGCTCCAGGCTCTGAGCCATCAGCCCAGAGCCTGACGCGGGGCTCGAACTCCCGGACCGCGAGATCGTGACCTGGCTGAAGTCGGACGCTTAACCGACTGCGGCACCCAGGCGCCCCAAGAAGCCACACTTTTCAATATGTACGACAGGCACGGCTTGCAACGATTTTGCTGGTCCTTTTTCTGCAAGTTAACCTATACTTCACCCAAACCAGATTTGCCCCCTGGCAGAGGTAGAATATTGAATACATAGGTTCTTGTTTTAGAAGAAGGATCTGTGTGTCATGGGGCGACTCGTAAAGCAGTCATGGGAAATGCCACAGACACTCACTTGTAACTAGAGAAACACAACTTGAAATGAGTAGTTTGAATCAATTAAATGAACATTTGAGCACATACCACAGGACACAGTCATGTCAACGTGGTAGTGTGTGATGAAGTATGCACAGAACTGCCTTCAACATTTTCTGTGATTCAAACACTCATGCGTTTAGGAGAAAGAAATACAGAAAGTTACATCTGCAGAGGTTTCTACATTTGGTACTGTGTTGCTCCACTAAAATGAAATTTAAACTGAACACTGATTATTTGGCCCAAGAACACATTACAAGTGTCAGAACACCAATTATCTTTAGCACCATAAAATCAGATAGTCACTTTACCTAGAAGAAAGTGACAAAGGGGAACAAGGAAAATGTCTGAAAGCTGGATATGTCTGATAACCTGGAAAATGTGGAACAGAAGCTAATTAGGCAGTCACAACCCAAGAGAAGCAATATTGTGAATTTTATTAATATTTGTTAAAGGAAACAAGTTCTAATAGGTATTGGTTGAAGGGAAGGAAGGAAGGAAGGCATAGAAGTGGAACTCAGGAAACCAAAGTCGTATTATCTGTCACGTGGAGGAAGTCACTTCAATCTCTGTAACTCGCTTTACTCACCCATAAAATGAGTGAGTTAGATTACAATCACTAAGGATTCTATTTTTAATACTTTTTTTTTCTTTCTTTCTTTTTTGCATCAGTGAAAAAGGCAGTAAGAAATTAATTGCCATGTTTCTTGGGAAACATTGTTTCAAATTAGGCTAAGTATCGGAAATTGAGTTACTGTCACCCCGGGGGTCTTTGAAAACCTTGAAACTAAAATAAGACTTAGGACCATCATTACCATTTTCTTAAGAACTACTAGAGTGACGGTCCCTATCACTGCAATTTAGAGTTGTACTATCTATCATACGTCCCCCCGTCCCCCTGTAGGGCTTCTTTCCTTTTCTCAGCCATCATTTCCTCTGTTCTTTCTCCTATTTTGCACCTCATCAACACGCAAACTCAGCTTCAGGGAAACTAGAACTCTCAGCCCAGGGCTGACTGTAGATTCAGTAGCTATGTGTAGGGCTCTACGTTCATTAATTCATTGATTGATTCAACAAGTGTTCGGAGAGCGCCCACTGGGGCCATACACTGGATGGGTAAGAAGAGAAAAAAATCAGTCTCTACTTCAAGGAACTCAGTTCAGGGCTGAGCGCACGGATTTGTCTGCACGGCCCTCTCCGGATCCCAAAACACAAGCTCAGGTTGGAGGGCTGGGCCAGGGCTGCAGATTCCACCGTCCGACTTTCTCGGAGGGCGCCTCCTACTGGCCGGAACCGCACCAGCAGGCCACCCTGGGACCGAGAGCCAACCTCTGTGCCCGGCCGAGATGTCACGGCTCACACCTGATGCTGCACCTAAAGCAACTGCGTGATCCAACACCCCAGGCTGGTTCCAGCCGGAGTCTCGCTTCCGTCCGGCACCAACTGCCCCTTCCTGATGCCCAGTCACTGCGGCAGCCCCCATCCCCACCCACCCCACACACTGCCACCAGGAAATCTGGGCGGTCGACCTCTGGGGGCGGCGCCTGCCCCGGCGGCGGCCGTCGCCCTGGAGATACGCAAGGCACCCGGGAAATGTTGCCTTTCCTGCGCCCGAATTCGGCCCCCACAGTGCCGCCTGCGGGCAGAAGGAGCAGATTGCTCTGGGAGCGTCGGCAGCTCCGTGCATCCTTTAACAGCATCCGGATCTCCCCTGCTCTCCGGACTGGGAGAACTGGAATTGCACTCCACAGCTCTGACCCTTCCTCCTTTGGAGGCTACACAAGGTTAGATCCAAGACTGACCGGCATATAAGTCATGGAATTGGACCGTGCCTAACGTTCCTTTTTCTGCCTCAATTTTTCCTGACCCAAATTGCCCCTCTTCAAAATGAAATTGTGAGTCATTGCACCCCTCCACCCACCTTTCCACCACTCACTTACTCACCATGGTGGTTTTCACCGTTCCGTCGTTTCAGGAAAGGTCTGGACTGCCTTGGGCTCAGAACAAGTCCTTTAGCTTCTATGAGGAGCTTGGGGGTGGGCGGAGGTGATAAGGGAGGCAAACTGAGGAAGGTACTCTAACGATGAGTAAAGGCTAGTTAGTAATGTTCGTTATGTAGATTTCTCTGGTGCTGTCTCCAGGCCGCTAGAGTCTAATGTTGTCTCTGGATTAACTTTTGTCCTTCCTGATAAGTAGGCATCGGTAGAAACCAATGGGCGATTTCCGAGGCACAGCTTTGGAAACTGACGTCCTGCTTTTAGGCAAATGGGGGGAAGGCAGGAAACTTGTATCTGCTTCCTTTCCATTGCTTTCCTTACGCCAAAGTGGCATATTTGGGGGTGGCATATTCTACTACTATTCAATGGTCAGATGACCCAGCTAGCACTCGCCAGCAGGAGTGTTTGTAAGTTAAGGATGTAATGTGGAGGCTGTTATTTTTTATTTATTTTGAGAGAGAGAGAGAGAGTCAGGGAGGGGTAGAGAGAAAGGAAGACAGAGGATCCAAAGAGGGCGACAGCAGCAAGGCCAATGTGGGGCTCTAATTCATGAACCATGAGATCATGGCCTGAGCCAAAGTCAGACGCTCAATGTACTGGGCCACCCAGATGCTCCGTTCCATTTCATTTTAAAACTTCTGATGACAGGGGCACCTGGGTGGCTCAGTCAGTTAAGCATCCAACTTCGGCTCAGGTCATGATCTCACAGCTCATGAGTCCAAGCCTCACATTGGGGCTCTCAGCTGACAGTTCAGAGCCTGGAGCCTGCTTCAGATTCTGTGTCTCCCTCTCTCCCTGCCCCTCCTCGCTCATGCTCTGTCTCTTTCTCGAAAACAAATAAACATTAAAAAAATTTTTTTTAACGTTAAAAAAATTTCTGATAACAAACTGTCCTTTGTCAATTATACCTAAAAGTTTCTGGATCTGTAGTTATTTAATCACTCCAAACTGCTCTTGTTAAGTTGATGAAAACCTCCCCCGCAAACTTGCTTGGTAAAGAGTAAGGCAGTGAATTACATTCAGTCTGAAACATGTTTGTGTTTTATCCCTAATCATTTTGTTCTTATAATCATAAAGGGTTCCCATTAATTCTCTGCTTTTCTTCCCTATTAAAAAAAAAATACCTTTCATTACTCTTTTGGTCTCTTCCAGGTGCTAATAATCTCCTTAGGCCTGTGTGATTTTGTCCTCAGTAGTTGGTGGGTTTTTTTTTTTTTTCTGTTCTCTTTCTTTGTAATCTTCTTTCGTATTTTGAAAACGTTTTCCCCTCTCTTCTGCAACAAATTAATTGGTTTAGTAACTGTACTGGTTTTATTACTTTAAGCACTTGGTATTTCTCATGCACAGAATATGAATTCCCTGAGTTTCCAGTTAAGTTTGGTGGAAGGATCCCTGCCCTCGTACCTGGGGACCCACAAAGAGTCCCAACCCAGCCACTAACTATGGGTGAGACATTTACTATACCTTTGGTTTCCTCCTCTGTAACATTAGAGATTGGAATAAAAAACCTTCCTGCTCCTTATAATGCTAAAATTTGGAATTTAGAATTATAAATTATTCTATATATTTATTATATTCCTTATATATTTATCTCTATATATAAAGTCTAAAAAGAATTGAAAGGAGTACTTGGGTTTAGTTGGATCTTACCTTTCTTCTTGACTTTCTCCAAGGCACCTCTAGTTTTTAACAATATTTTGAACACTCTGGATCTTTTACCATCTGTGAAATCCTGCAAGGGTAACAGGCAATAAGTGAGAACAGCAAACTAGAGGCTCCGGCCTTCGGTCTCCCATGAAACCTCTGCTGGGTTCCTGATCACATCCTGCTGGCAGGGTCCCCACCACGGGCATCCACCTTCTCTGCTTACATTGAGTCTAGCTCCACACGTCGAGGTTGGCTACTCTGTGAACACAACAGACATCACCGTGGCTCTGAGTGATTGTAAACCTGCCTAAATGATGTAATCTTTTAACGTTGTCAGTGACCTTTGCTGGTGTCCCACCACTTGAGGAAAGAGGGTACTCTTAAACCACATAAGATTTTATTCTGACTTAAAGGTCTGTTTTCTTTGCCCCATAAAACCTAAGACCTCTTTTCCTTGGATTCTCATGCTTTAAAAAAAAAATTTTTTTTAATTGACTTATTTATCCTGAGAGAGACAGAGACAGCTTGAGTGGGGGAGGAGTAGAGCGAGAGGGAGTGAGCATCCCAAGCAGGCTCTGCACTGTCAGCGCAGAGCCCAACACAGGACTCAAACCCACGGAACACTGAACTCATGACCTGAGTCGAAACCAAGATGCCAATGCTCAACTGATTACACCACCCAGGCTCCCCGGATTCTCATCCTTCTTAATGGACATAGGGCTGCTTTGCTGGAGCCAAAAGGGCTTTTCAGTAATGTTTTCCAAAATGAATCCTGCAGAACTCTATGTCCCCAAGGTCATAGTAAATGTTTTTGAAAAAGAAAGAATCCAGAGGTCAAATATATTCACAATTTAAGAATATACTATACATTAGGTATTCCTAATAGACTGCACGTGTGTGTGGTGGGGTGGAGGGAACGGAGGAAAACTGTTTTTACCTCAATTGGCCATGTGGTGCTTTTCTCTCTTTTTAAAAGTACACCTTTGAAGGGGTGCCTGGGCGGCTCAGTTGGTTAAGTGCCCGACTTCAGCTCAAGTCATGATTTCACAGTTCATGGGTTCAAGCCCCATGTCGGGCTCTGTGCTGATAGTTCAGAGCCTGGAGCCTGCTTTGGATTCTGTGTCTCCCTCTCTCTCTGCTCTTCCCCCACTCATGCTCTGTCTCTCAAAAATAAACAATTAAAAAAAAAAGTATACCTCTGGAGCCAGTGTTCCAGAGCACATCATCTGTGAAACATTGTTTTAATAGTGTTTGTTACAGGTTAGTTGCAGTCTCATTTTCTGTCATCCCTCCAAATTTCAGGTCAGCCATTCTTTACACGAAACATGAACCCTCTGAAAGTCAGGAATTCCTTGTCTGGAGTGCAATTCTGTCCCTAATGTACAAACATTCTGTGCTCCTGCCGTCTTCACCTCATGTAACAAGTGGGGTAATCTCCTGGACTTCTGTTTACTTTTAACATTTGCTTTCAAACTCCACACTAAATTGTTGTTGCCTGTACTGCTGCATGACAAAGCTGTCTAGCTTTATTTATTTTTTTCCTGAAGATTTTAAGTAATCTCCACACCCAATGTGGGGCTAGAACTCACAACCCCGAGATAGGTCGCATGCTCTGCTCACTGAGCCAGCCTGGTGCCCCTTGGCTTTATTTTGTCTTTACTCAGATTTAGTCACTGCTTAGATAGGCACGCTTGGTAATCTCCTTCACTGTGTTGGCTGTGAACAGCTTCTCTGTTCTGCAACTCCTAAACCTGTACCTCCTGTCCCAATCCATCTCTCATCTAAATTCTAACCCTATACATCTTAGCATCCTCGCTTAAAAAAAAAAAAAAATTGTTTTAATGTTCATTTGTTTTTGAGAGAAACAGAGTGCGAGCAGGGGAGGGGCAGACACAGAATCTGAAGCAGGCTTCAGGCTCCGAGCTGTCAGCACAGGGCCGGATGCAGGACTCGAACTCACCAACTGTGAGATCATGACCTGAGCTGGTGCTTAACCAACTAAGCCACCCAGGCTCCCCTTAGTACCCTTGCTTTTACATTTCTTCAACTCAGATTACCAAACTTTGATGAAATTATCAGTTTTCTTTAGGGGGAACTATATACATCACTGCCACGAAACATACCGTGAAGCCTCAGCATTCGTGTAAACAGACCAGGATTCAGAGAACTTGTTTTATTGCTCACAGTTTCAAAATAAATGAATCAAAACCAAATTCAACATTATATCAGGGCTGCAACAAAATTCACACATACCTGAACCCTCACTTTAGAATCATACTGTGGAAAAGGAGAACAGTGGACATTTAATAGCCACCTCATCTCCTCAACTTTGGGAACAGTACTGGAAGAATTTCCTTTTGTCTTAATTCAAGCTGGGATTTCAGAGCTAGCTGAACATTTGGGGGGAAATTACCACTTAAGATGGTAAGAAGAACAGATATCTCTTTTATCAATGGATAGGAAATAGAACTGGTGATGTTTTAAATGTTTATTTTAGAGACAGAAAGAGAGCGCCCGCGCCTGAGCGGGGGAAGGACAGAGACAGGGTAAGAGAGAATCCCAAGCAGGATCGGGCTGTCAGCATGGATCCAGATCTGGGGCTCGAACCCACCAACCTGAGATCATGACCTGAGCCGAAATCAGGAGTCGGATGCTCAAGTGACTGGGCCACCCAGGCGCCCCTTCCTGGTGATGTTTTAGCCGAGAAAATCCTTTGTGGCTTCTCATACTCCTAACTTGGTTCCATTCTTGGTCAAAAAAGGGCCCCTGTTCCTAAAATCTGTCTCCCGGCGGGTTTCGCTATGGCTGCTGTGGATTCCCAGGGAACGTCAAGCCTGCCGAAGGCTCTGGACGCCCTTCCCGGCCTCAACTCCAGTCAGCCTCGATCATCGCGAACAGCTGGCTGAGCCTCTTCTTGACGTCAGGCTCGCTGGGGGCACTGCAGGATTTGGCGTGCACGCGGATGTGTTCGGCAAGTTTGGACTTGTAGATGAAGCCCTTGCCACAGTCGCCGCAGGCGAACGGCCTCTCGGGTCTGTGTATGCGCTGGTGCCTCAGCATGTGTCCCTTCTCTCGGAAGTTCTTATCACACTCGGGACAGTGGAAGGGCCTCTCGCCTGTGTGCAGGCCTTGGTGGCTGAGCAGCTGCGCCTTCAGGCGGAAACTCTTGTCGCACGTGGGGCACTGGAAGGGCTTCTCCCCCGTGTGCGTCCGAACGTGTTCGATGAGCTTGGACTGCTTGGCGAAGCCTTTGCCGCACTCGCAGGAGAAGGGCATCTGCCCGCCGTGCAGCAGCTGGTGGGCCTTCATGTCGGCCTTGACGCGGTAGCTCTTGCCGCACTCGGGGCACTGGAAGGGTCTCTCGCCTGTGTGCAGGCGCTGGTGACTAAGCAGCTGCCCCTTGAGGCGGAAACTCCGGTCGCAGCTGGAGCAGCGGAAGGGCCTCTCGCCGCTGTGCACGCGGAAGTGCTCGGCGAGCTTGGACTGCCGGGTGAAGCCCTTGCCGCACTCCCCGCACGAGAAGGGCCTCTCCTTGCTGTGGGTGCGCTGGTGGGCCTTCAGGATGCCCTTGAGGCGGAAGCTCTTGCCGCACTCGGGGCACCGGAAGGGCCTCTCCCCGCTGTGCACCCGCAGGTGCTCCCGGAGCTTGCAGCGGTGCGCAAAGCCCCTGCCGCACTCGCCGCAGGAGAACGGCCTCTCCCCGCCGTGCCGGAGCCGGTGTGCTCTCAGCATGCTCTGGAGGCGGAAGCTCAGCCCGCACTCCGGGCACTGGAAGGGCTTCTCGTCCGTGTGCAGGCGCCGGTGCCGCAGCAGCTGTCCCCTCTGGCGGAAGCTCCGGCCGCAGTCGGCGCACCCGAAGGGCCTCTCCCCGCTGTGCACTCGGACGTGCTCCGTGAGCTTACACCGCTTGGCGAAGCCCTTGCCGCACTTGGCACAGGAGAAGGGTCTGCCGCCGCCGTTCGCGCGCCGGTGGACCTCCAGCGAGCCACCCGGGCGGAAGCTGTCGCCGCACTCCTGGCACCAGAAGGGCCGCTCTCCCGCGTGCACCCGTTTGTGGCTGGGGAGCTGGGACCCGGCAGCGAAGCGCTCGCCACCCTCGGGGCAAGACAACGGCCTCTCCCCGGCGGGGCGGTGCCGGACAGTCTCCGCGGCCCCCGGCCACGGGCCTGGCTTCCCTCCCGAGCGCAAGCTGGCCCGCCGTGCCTTCCCTGGGAGGGCCAGGTCGCCCTCGCCACGGGAGACCAGCCTCCCCCTGCTGGGCTGGCCCTGGGGAGCCGCCAGGCTGTTCTTCGGGAGAGCGTTCCGGTCGCACCTGGGGCACTGGGAAGGCCTCTCCCCCCTGCGCCGGAGGCGGTGGCCGAGAAGGATCTGCTTGCGCGGGCCGCACCGTTTACATCCAGGGCCCTGCGGGGGGCTCGTCCCCGCCGGTACAGCCAGATGCCTGAGCAAATACCGCTTCCGGTGGAAGCTCCGCCCGCAGTCGTGACACCGGAAATGCCTCCGACCCTGAGGGATGCTGCGCTGTTGCCGTGGATCAGCTTGTTTGCTGAATTTCTTCCAGGGCCTACACGGCTGGTCACTCAAGTGGCTCTCGTGCTTCTCTAAGTGATTCTTCTTCCAAAAGCTTTCCTCACTAACAGCGCTTGGGTGCTGGGTGCCCTCCCAGGAGCTTTCCTCCTGAAAGGCAGGGGGAGCCAGAGTTCTGGGACTTGGGATTCCTTCTCTCCAGGTAGGTTCCCTGCAGCTGGGGACTACTGGAATTGGAGCCCATGCGACATGTCTGTGTGGATTCACGAGAGCGATCCTCCCGTCAGGCCTGAAGGAAGCACCTGCCCTTCCTCCTAGTGAGGGTTCAGAGGGGCACTGGCCCTGTAGGAGATCTACTTGGAACCGGCATTTAGCTTCTCCTGATTTCACAGCTTGTTGACTTCCTGAAATGGAAAACAAAACTTCAGTCCGTATTTCTGTCATGACTAAAGGCTTATATCACCAGGAAAGGGAGCAGTAACAGTGACCTCTGGGAACCCAGCTCCCACGGAGCTCCACAACCAAGGACATTTCAGTATGGTTCCATTTAATGACCAGGAGTTTGGTGAGAGTCTGCTAAAATTAAACCGAAAAAAAACTTATCTTAAAAGAGGAAAATCTAGGAGCGCTTGGCTGGCTCAGTCGGAATAGCATGCCACTCTTGATTTCAGCGTCATCAGTTCGAGCCTCATGTTGGGTATAGAGATTACATAAATAAACTTAAAAAAAAAAAAAAAAGGAAAATATAGGTCTTAATATGGCCTATCCTCTGAAATGAGACCGTCTGGGTTCAAATCCCACCTTTCCGCTGTCTAGCCTCTGTCAAGTGAATCTCTCTTGGCTTTGGTTCCTTCTCCCATAGAAACAGGGAAACAACAGGACATTTGATTGTCATGATTATTGAGTTCCTGCAGTTACAGTGTTGAACACGTGCCTGGCATACTGCACACTCCATGTGCTCACCGCCATGACTACAGGACCATCCAACTTGTGCCGTTTTGATGTGGAGGCATTTCTGGAGTCAGAATGATGACGGTGTCACTATTAGACCCTAACACCACGGTCCCATTTCACCCAGGTGATGTCCCTCAGGCCAGGCAGCAGGGCTTGGGCTCTGTTCCCCACTCCTCGCCCCTATTCCCACCAACCTTTTAAAAAGGTTTCTTGGAAGAATTGATAACAGATGGTAAAAAGTGAAAGAATTTGTGAAGCAAAACTCCTTTACTGTCCAGAAAGCAGCAGCAACAAACTAAGCAAACTAAACAAATTTCTGGGCGTTGGCTTTCTCATTCCGTATTTTAATGCTGCCTTTTAAGAATCCAAAAATTTCAGACTCTCCTATGATAACAAGAAACAACAGAGGAGAGCTGAGTTTTAGGTATTCAAGTAGAGACAACAGTTCCCAGATAGGAAGGAAGCAATTTTGGTCACTAGGATTTAGATAACCAGTTTCGCTACCACCCCGCCCCACACCAGCCCTGCCTACTAACAATAGTGCCTATTTACTGAGCTCTTACTGTGTGCCATGTATCATTTTAACACTTTATGTATACTAACCTATTTAAACCTATAATGTAGGTGCTTTTATTATCTTCATTTCATAGGCCAGGAAATCGAAATATCGAGAGGTTGAATAACTTGCCCAAGGCGACCCAGAAAAGCAAGATCCAGACTCAGAGTCCAGGACCCATACTCCTAACCACTGTGCTTTACTGCCTTTTTCTAGAATATGCCAGACATCAAGCCTCAGCCTAGCCAAACAGGAAGACATGATCAGAGAACTGGAACAAAGATAACTGAATGTGATGTCCTCAGGAAAGGACCCTAATTTCTTAATACTCACGCCAAAACAGATGTCCCTCAATAACTGGATCAAAATGCAGATCAGCTGAAGAGCAAATTATGTTTCCTGATTTCTGTGATTCTCCCCAGTTCTTGAAGAACTCTTTCCCCTGTTCAATCCGTGATATTAGTTCTGGTTTGGGAAGTCCATCATCTGTACAAAGAAGTTAGACAGGGTATTTTGGTTTCTTTGAGCACTAAATTTAAAGCATGCGGAGTTGTTTTTAAATTTTTTAAATGTATTCCTGGGATAATGTATGAGAAGAGATGTCAAAAAATAGATTATAGTTTTGCACAAAGAGGAGTAAAACTGCCCACACATCCTAAAAGTTCTTCCTAATCTTTCTGGACCTGTTAAATCAGTTATACTGTTTAAATCCTGTCTTGGTCCCCATATGTCTAGCAATATGTATTTAGCCATGGGTTTCATAAAACTCACTAGTAGGGTGCTCTGAGAATGGTGGGACAACTCTGGAGACAGCTGGACAGATATCACGAGAAGAGGGGGAGATGGAAAAATAACTCGAATGCCCGTCCTAGGCAATTTCAAAGTAGGTAGCTCCAGCTAAAATATTCTCAGAAGTTCTCTGGTGACGGTGCTAATCATGACTCCAAACACTGTGGAGTGCTGCTAGAATAAAAAGGGTTGTAAGCAATGCAATAAACAGACGAAAATAGTTACAAGATTCTTTAATATATGACCCCCATTTCCCAAAAGAAATGTTTAATTTATTTATTTTCAAGTAAAATTTTCTTTCAATAAAATATATTTAACAGAATCTAAAGTATGCTTCATAGGTTGCTAAAGGGAGATCAGTGTATGGTTCAAATAAGAGAAAGAGGGTACGCTGGGCAATGCCTGCCTCAGGAAGAAAATGTCAGAGTGGTGTAGTACATGTGGAGACAGATCACTGTTCTAGATTCCTCCTTGTCCTCTGAAATCTGACTTCAATCCCAAAAGAATTCTAAGACTTCTTTCATGAGAAAAGGAATCCCTATCTTTTGTTTAAATCCATATACCTATTCTCAATCTTCATCTGTTGAAATCCCAGCATCTTTTAAAATAAAAGTATTTTTCCAAAAGTAAAGCCTGGGTGGCTCAGTCAGTTAAGTGTCCAACGTTGGCTCAGGTCATGATCTCACAGTTTGTGAGTTCAAGCTCCACATCAGGCTTTGAGCTGATGGTGCAGAGCCTGCTTGGTATTCTCTCTCCCTTTCTCTTTGCCCCTCCCAAGCTTGTGCTCGCTTGCTCTCTCTCTCTCTCTCTCTGAGTGAATAAACTTAAAAATTAAAAAATAAATAAAAAAACAAAACCAAGAAAACAATTCAATTTATAATAACACAAAAAAGAATAAAACATTTAGGAATAAATTTAATAAAAGAAATCCAAGACTTATACAATAAAAACTATAAAATATTGTTCAAAGAGATTTTGTCATAAATGAATAGGAAGATATCCCATGTTCATGAAAAGGAAGCTTTGATATTGTTAAAATGACAATATTCCCCGAATCCAATCTGCCTTGTTTTTTGACAAACTGATCCTAAAAGTAATGGTAATCAAAAAGACAAACATATATACATCAATGAAACAGTATTGAGAATCCACAAATAAAACTCTACATTTATGGTAAACTGATTTTCCAAAAGGGTGCCAAGAGAATTCAATGGGGAAAGACTTTTCAACAAATGGTGTTGGGACAACTGGATATCCATATGCAAAAGAAGTTGGATCCCTACTTCACACTGTATACAAAAATTAACTCAAAAGGGATCAAAGACCTAAATGTAAGCAATGAAACTCTAAACCTCTCAGAAGAAAACATAGGAGTGAATCTGTGTGACTTTGGATTAAGCAATGGTTTCTTAGATATGACACCAAAAGCTCAAGCAACGCAAGAAAAAGAAGTTGGGCTTCATGAAAATTGACAACTTTTGTGCTTCAAAGGATAGTATCAAGAAAGTGAACAGGGGCACCTGGGTGGCTCAGTCGGTTAAGCATCCAACTTCGACTCAGGTCGTGATCTCAGTCTGTGAGAAGAGATGTCAAAAAACAGCACCAAGCCAGCTTAGGATCCTGTCCTTCCCCTCTCTCTGCCCCTCCCCCACTCATATTTTCTCTCTCTCCTCTCTCTCTCTCTCTCTCTCTCTCTCTCACCCCCCCCAAAATTTAAAAAATAAAGAAAGTGAACAACCACAGAATGGGAGAAAATTATCTGCAAATTATGTATCTGATAAGGGTCCAGTATCCAAAACAAATAGGGAATTTGTTTTTAATAGGCTTTGAATGCAACACAGGGCTTGAACTCATGACCCTGAGATCAAGACCTGAGATGAGATCAAGAGTCAGATGCTTAACAGACTGAGCCACCAGGCGCTCTACAAATGGAGAACTCTTAAAACTCAACAATAAAAAGACAAAGAAATAAATTTAAAAATGAGCAAAGTATTTGAACAGACACTTCTCCTAAGAAGGTATACAAATGAAAAGATGCTCAACACGATTAGCTGTTAAGGAAATTCAAATCAAAACCACAACAATATACCACTTCACATCCACTTAATCCTGATGTTTGGAACATTCTTTCTGGGTAGAACAGGATGGATGATAATAAGATTATCTTTCTTTCTCTATAGATTCAATTACTTTAATTGGTTCTTCAGTAAAAATAAAAATATGTAATATCTTAGATTATATGTTTTAGAAACAACACTCTCTATGTAAAGCCTAGAAAACTTAATTATGGTAAAAGAATAGAATATGAAGTATTAGAAACCTTATGATATAAAGAAGTGGTATGGCTGTTAGGAGCTGGCAGAAGAGGTGACAGGAAGTACAGGAGAACTAATCACCTTATCTTCATACACTGAAGTAATCGAGATGTAATGTGAAGTTCACAGAACATGATCTAGAAGTTTATTATTTAAGTTATAAAGTTAGCCCATAGAGGCCTGAAAAAAAAAAAAAAACTCAAAATTCGGGGGAAAGGGAAAAAAGGAGACAGAAGATCCTGTAAGTGAGTTAATCCCTCATTTTTCATAGTAATGAGTTAATGCTGTCTAGACGTGATAAATCAAGAAACTGAGACACAAGCATGATAGTAAGATTGGAGGAAACCACAGTAAGAACTGAAACAGAAAAGGTTAAACGTGGTTGCCTTGGGAAATGAACTGAGTGCAAGAGTGAGGATGAAGCAGAGACTTTATCATTCGACACTTCTCTGAACAGACTGATTCTTAAAAATCACATTTGATAAATTAAAAAAAAAAAAAAAAAAAAAAAAACAACATATGAAGACCAAGTAAGGAAAAAGACTGAAAAGAACACATTACTATAACCAAGCAGAGACAGCTCCTGTTAAACATCTCAGGGTATAGCCTTACAAAATCTCACTGCAGGGAAATATTATAGCTTTTCTGAGTTATACAACCCCACTGTAAAAGCTGACAAGTAGGGACACTACCCATATTAAAAATAATATGGGTACATTATGGATAGGAGCTAGGAGTGCTCCAATATGGAAATCATGGCACCCTATGACTGTGTAGCAACTAAAAGTCCCCAGTCCTGGTGTATTTAACATATGACTTTAGGGTAAAACAAAAATACATTTCTGAGTTAATTTCTGAGAAATCTGGCCACCTAACAAACAGGAAACTCAAGTGGCCAAGACCTCTTTCAGGCCCATTTCGAGGATCTACCCACAAAATCAAGCACTTCTTACCTAGAGAAACAAGAATCTCATAGTTGGTTCTCATTACATGCTTGTAAAGCTCCTTCTGCCATGCCTCCAGATTCTGCCATTCTTGTTCAGAGAAATAAATGGCAACATCTTCAAAAGTCAGAGGTAACTGAAATTACAGACATAATACATACACAGTCATTATTGCTTCAAAATGATTTCGGCTCCTTCTCATCAATGTATTTATTTTCTTTCTTAAGTAAACTCTAACCTCAACGTGGAGCTCGAACTCACAACCCTGAGATCAAGAATCACCCGCTTTACCCACTGGCCAACCAGGTGCCCCTCCTTTTCATCAATTTAAAAGACTTTTTTAGAGGATCCTGTTCTTGTGTATTCAGCAGCTTCCTCCTTGAGAACTGCTCCTCCCCCTACTCCAACCATGTGGTTCTGTTAACCACCATACCTTACGTGGTTCTTTATGGTTGTTCAAGCTACATATGCATTTGTATAGGATATTTTTCTTCTTTTAAAAACAAAAGAGGGAATAAAGCACTGTGTAACTTCATTCACTTAATATGTCAGGTGTTTTTCCAGGTCAGTGTATATAGGCAAAACCAGGTTTTTGCAAACTGCTTCCTGATATACTAGTGCTTTTACCACTGTAAGATAAAGCCTAAAAAGGAGAACTACTAAATCAAAAGGTATAAAAATGTTCAGTTTAATAAATACCACTAGACTGCCTTCCAAAAAAAATCCAGCACTTTTGCCCTTTTGCTAATAAGATGAGACTTATTTCTTTGCACCTTCATCAGCACAGCATGGTTTTAAACCTTTATTATTTTTTTTTGCCAGTGCAAAAAAAATTTCCTTGTTTTAATTTGCATTCATTTGTGAGGCTTAACATCCTTTTCATACTTTTCGGGTGTGGAGGATGTTCCAGTATCTTTGTACATGTCTGTTCACATCCTTTGCTCAACATTCTCATGGACTCCTATAATTTGAATGAACTTCTTTATATCAGGGTGAATCATCCTTTGATTGACTAGCAAACATTTTCTCCCCCAGTCATTTGTATTTTGATTTTATCTTCTGCCAAATAGAGCATTTTGAGTCTTTAATTTGATCTGTCAGTCCTTTCCACGGTTTCCAGGTTTGTTTTTTAATTTTTTAAAGGTTTGAGAGAGAGAGACGTGAGACTGAGCCACCCAGGTGCCCCCATAGTTTCCACCTTTTTAAGTGTCCCCCACACCAAAAAGTTATACAAATATTCTACTAATATTTTTTGCCCTTAGATTTGCAATTTAATTCTATAGATGAGGGGCACCTGGGTGGCTCAGTCAGTTGAGCTTCTGGCTCTTGATTTTGGCTCAGGTCATGATCTCACAGTTTGCGAGATGGAGCCCTGCATCAGGCTCAGTGGGGAGCCTGCTTGGGATTCTCTCTCTCCCTCTCTCTCTGCCCCTCCCCTGCTCACATAATCTCTTTCTCTCTCAAAATAAGTTAATATTTTTAGTAAAAATCAAAGAAAATTCTACAGATGAGATTGGCATCTTTAATAGATACATATGGAGAGCCAATCACACACCAGTAAGTATACTATCCTTTCTCCTTAGATTGGAATGCCAACCTTTAATCTTTGCATGTATTAGATTTTCATAAATATGTGAATCTATATATTCTCTTACACTTTCTATATGTGTCTGATTACAGTACCTATGCAATATTGTAATAATGGGATGGTAAGTCTTACCTTCTCCTCACATTCTTTTCAAAGTTACTGCTGTGAATTCGTAGATATGTATCCTTCCTTATAAACTCCAAAACTATTTAGTCCAACAACAACAACAAAAAAGTGCATTGGAATTCCAGTCTGGACTGCATTAACTGTATATATGTATTTAGGAAAGATTGATCTCATCTAGAAACATGTTCTGCATTCATTTGGTCCAGCTTGCTATCCTTAATAAACTTAATTATTTTCTTCATAAATGTTCTGAGTCTTTTTTATTAACTTTATTTCTGGTATTCTGTGGTCTTTCCAACAATTGTAAATGAGACCACCCCTTTTGGGGTGCCATTTCAATTTATTATTAATAGTTTTAAAAAAAGTTACTGATTTTTGTAAACTTACTGTGTATCCAATTAATGTGTCATATTATGTATCAATCCTATTAACTTTATGGTGGGATACAATAAAAATTCTCAAATAAAGATAATTTCTCCATCTTCTACACTGCTTTTCTCATATTATTATAGTTTTCAGGAGAACCTCTTTTGTGGCTTTAGGGTTTAGTATCTTGATTTGGAAGACTTTTCCTATTCTAAAATTATAAAATATTCTCTTAAATTTTTCATAACATTCTTATAACTTTTATTAGACCGTTTTCCATCTGGAACTTATTTATGTGTAATGTAACAGGAAGGAACATAATTCTTTTTCCAGGTGGATTTTCAGTTATCACAAAACTTACTCAACAGTCTATTCTTTCACCATTGATTTGGGATTGTTTTTCATTAATTGGGCTTCCATTTATAGTTGGCATTTATACTCCATTTATACTTCCATTTATCCTTTTTTGCTCCAATACTGCAGTATAATTCTTATAGTTTTATCAGATATTTTGCTTTTTAAAAAAAAAATTTTTTTTAACCTTTATTTATTTTTGAGACAGAGAGAGACAGAGCATGAACGGGGAAGGGTCAGAGAGAGGGAGACACAGAATCTGAAACAGGCTCCAGGCTCCGAGCTGTCAGCACAGAGCCCGACGTGGGGCTCGAACTCACGGACCGTCAGATCATGACCTGAGCCAAGTCGGACGCTTAACCGACTGAGCCACCCAGGCGCCCCTAGATATTTTGCTTTTTAAGGGGGCATGGCCATCCACCACTAACCTCCATCATTTCCCATAGGAAAACGTCTTGGCTTTTCTTGTCTGTTTTCTCTTCTACATAAATAGTAAAGATATTTTGTCAAATTTATACAAATTCTCATGGGATTCTGATACGAATATGCTTAATATATTAACTTGGGGAGAAATGGACCTCTAAAATATGGCTTCTTTCCACGCAGAAACATCTCTCTCGTTTTTCTAGACATTTTATGTGCTTTAGTAAAATTAGTTTTCTTCATGTAGATTTTACATAATTCTCAACAGGTTCATTTCTAGGGATGGTACAGTTTTTGTTGCTACCATGTTTTGGGTTCTTTTTTCCCCCCACTAAAATTTCTAATTATGAAAGGTTGGGAAGCTAATTTCCTTGTTGGCTAACACTTTAGTTGACTGCCTTGGAGTGTCTGTGTTGAGAACGAGATCTGCAAATTAACATTTCTTTTAACCATTTAAGCCTATCATTTCTTATTTTTCTTATTGTATTGGCTGGAATGATGTTGAATAAGAGTGGTGATAGCATGCATCTGTCTAAGGTTTATAACTAGAAGCATGTAAATTATATATTTGTTAAAGTAATTTACATTAAATGCACATTCTTTTATGGTTTCCTTTTCTCTCTTTTTCAAATTATATTTAAGATTTTTTTTTTCGTTT